AATAAGTGAGATTCTGGGTGTTAGTGTTGAAGGGGGTCATTTTTTGGTCTTTGTTGACGGTTTATTTTTTCTAGGAGTCGGACAAAGTGGGTGTTAGTGGGTGTTTGTGCACATAACTCTCCAAGTTGTGGGTGTTAGTGAAGATGACCCATATGCGTTTTTACAAAGTTGGGTGTTTGTGGTGTTAGCATAAATTAGTAATACCCCCTTTACGGGCAACATCAAATCTGATAAAGGGTATTTAGTTTTCTCCATTTTAGATTTTTCTATGCTTATCACATTTGTTACCAATGAATTTCATAAGTCTGTCTAAAAAAAATGGATGAGAAAAAGATTGATTGTCAAGATAATTTCAAAGTTTTCTTTTCGAAATGTCTCGATTTCTTCTCCGTATAATAATACACTGCATTGTGAGATGTATAATTTTGAATTTACTAATTATCCCATATCAATATCAAGTCTATATATGGTACTATGATCTGTGAAATGATGGTAATATGAGAGAATGAATCTGTCTTGTGTTTTAGCTCTAACTCTAATAAATGCATCGATTTGAAGTGAACGAGTGTAAGCCTGAAGGGTGTGGGTGTGGGTGTGGGTGGGTAAGGGTGTGGGTGTGGGTGGGTAAGGGTGTGGGTGAGGGCGTGGCTGATATGCGTGTGTCAAGGACGATAATATCGCCGAACCCACACCACACATCCACACCCACCCACACCTACACCCACAATCCACCCCTACTCACACCTCCACATCCACACGCACACCCACACCCACCCACACACCCAGCCACACACCCACACGCACACACCCCACACCCACACCCACACCCTTGCTTGCTTGGTTCTCCCTTTTTCTCGAAGAGAAATATGTTCCAATTCGTTGTGCATTAGAAAGCAAAATATGTTGTTTACTAAAGAAAAGAGGCGATATAATAAAGTACAAAAAATACTGATTAGTTGCTTAGAAAATATTTTCTTCAAAGTTAAAATAATTCCAACTTTCCTGTTTGAGAATTAACTGTAATTGGAGTGTTTGATGCTTACCGATATCTGTCTGATATGGATCTCCAATCATTAGAGTTAGTTTGAATAAATGGTTAGGCTATTCGTAATTGATTGTGAGCTGACATTTTCAACTGTAATTTGTTTTAATCGGTTTTATCGATAATCAACTCTTGTATTGTTTATAACGTATTATGACTAATTATAATCGATTCTTAATCGATTAAACATCGATTAAAGGTGTATGATTATAATCGATTTTAATCTGATTTTTCCCCTATTTTTTGACATGGATGTGGGACTAGGATTTCTTGGTGATACATATCATACAGATGACAGATTAAGTATGATATGTATATATGAAATACGTAATCAAAGAACTGCATTAGATATTCAAGATATACCATTATTTCATTATCAAGAATTTTTAATTTTACCTTATTCAGCATTTAAAATAATAGATATTCAAGTAAATAAAGACAAATCACCTAATGTGGAAATAAAACTAAAAGAATGTGTGCCACGGTAAATGTTCACAATGATTGAAACTGAGATTTTACGATGATTTATATCCTTATTATAATATGATAAATAAAAGCAAAATGAAAATAAGTGGAAAAAAAAGGAGGTTCATTCTATCACATTTGACAGAACTGACATAATTTAGTGTTGATTTAGCATAGATTTATAACAGAAAAATATTCATTTTCATGAGACCTCTGATAGAATCAGCACTAGCAGTTGTTCGACTTATTTTATTTGCTTTCTTGCTTTTAAGATGGATGTGTATAACGTTGAAGAGAAGATCAACATCCACACCTAAACAAGCTCTAACATATCAACTCATTTTATCTCTCAAACAACAAAATTATTTCTTAAAATAAATCCATTTAGTTTAATTCAATAATTTTGTGTTTATCTGTTCAAATCTCTTTTTCAATATATTTGTTTTTACTCAAATCTCTCTCGAGGAAAATCAAGCTCATATTTTTTCTTATTAAAAGCATTTACAAAAGGATACTGAATGGTTAAATTTTTCTACTCATAAAAATACTAGTTTATTTACAATTGTTCGGTATACCAAAAACATCAAAAAGAATATTTTCAAAAATGAAAAACATGCAAAAAAAACAAAGTTTATTTTATTCATTTATCTATCTACATATGAATTCATTTATTATTTATTCAGTCTTGGTTCTTTTATTTTTACAACATTATTTGCCCATGTTATTCATTCTTCACTTCCCCACATATTTTCTATGCATTCTCTTGCTTCAGTACTGTACAACCTTCCTTTTCGAACCTAAACTGTATTTTTTATACACATTCTTATAATTAATTCATCTTTACTTGTGCGTGTTTTTATGTTCGTACGCATTTCTTTTTTAAGTGATTTTGCCGTGAACAATTCATATTCTACCGAGAAAAGTGTCTCATTATAAGTTTATGCGACATATGAGTAGCTATATTAAGAAAAAGTTAGAGGCAGTTAAGACTGCTATTTTTACTCATTTACACCCCTACATGAGTCAGAAAAATAGAACGATTGCACATGTGGAGGAGTTATAAACGAGTAATAATAACAACATAAAGAAAAAAGTAGTATATTTTGTTTCATAGTCATGTAGAATTGGTATGAAATAGGTGTGAATACATTACTCTATGTCACGAACCTCCTACATTGATGAAGAAAGAGCAAAGAAAAAATAGGAAGTGACGGTATTGTATAAAAAGAAGCCTTTGAAGAAGAAACTCCTTCTCTTCTCCGTAAAAAATGGGTGAATTTCAATGTGGAAGAAATATTTCGCTCTGTCTAAACTTAAATAATTTAACCTTGTGTTCTTCAGAAAACAATATTTGTGTACAAAATCACGGCTATTGTGTTTTTAAAGAGAATATTAAACCAAGATGTCAATGTTTACCTTGTTTTGTCGGAAAATATTGTGAGGAAGAAAAAGTATCTAGAAATTTATGGTTTGTCTTTACACCTTTCGATGAAGTAGCTCCAACTGGAGCTTCAACTC